GGGTAGGGTTGGGTTAAGTCATTTGCAACCCAGGTTCGATGTCTGATTTGATCTAAATATAATTTACTTTAATTTTGGTTCTGGCCCTTAATTTATTGAAATGATTTCTTCCCACCAAAAGAGAAAAAAAGAATAATAAAAGTTACTCATTTATTTTTAATCGATAATTTAAACTACAAGGGGATGAAGTTTCTCACACACACTACTAAGGTGATATGGGGATTCAAATTTGAGATCACTGATATGCAAATTAAAGCCATTTTTCACTGAGCTAGACCTGTTGGCTTAAAGAATAAAATTGAAATAAATTTAAAAAAAAAAAAAAAGACTTACTTTATTCTGTTAGAGACAACAATGGAGCTAAGAGCACTTCCACCCATTTGCCATGGTAAAGGCAAGGGCAAGGCAATGGCTGTTACTATTCATGTGAATAGTGGCAGCCCTTGCAAAAGGTTTGTTGTGTTTTCACCCATTGCCATGGCAAAGGGCAAATATTATTCAATTTTAGTTTTTTTTACCTAAACGATTAATTTGGATAAGATTTTCGGATAAGATTGTGTCAATATTTATTAAAAAATTCATATTTAAAACTAACAAAATGCATAAAGCACATGTAAAGGCATTAAGCCCACATAAAGACAAAGAGCCCACATAATGGCAAAAAGCCCACAAAAGGCAAAAGCCCACAAAACACAACACAACATTAGGAAACCCTAACACCAATAACAAGTATGTGCCGCACAATCCAACAGCCACAAGCCGTGCCACCAAAGCAAGCTGACAACCACCAAAGAGAAACCAGTAACCAACAGAAAATGGTGGTGAGCAAGCCACCCAAGCTACACCTAGTAGGAGTAGCGCTACCATAATTCAAGCAATAAGTGCGATTTGCACTTTAAGGGCATCCCAAACTCCATCCGTTCCACTGAGGATAAACAACGGAAGAAACATCTGTGGAGTCAAGGAGCCGATGATAGTGGTTCAGACCAACCGATGTGACGCAGCCTCCAACAATGAGGAGAGAAAATGCATTGC